CCCCCGCCCCGCCGCACGCCCTGCGGCCCGGCCTTCCAGCTCCGCCCGCGGGCTCGTTCGCCGCAGGCGCCCGCCGGGCGTGGGCAGAGCCCGGGCTGCCTCGGGGCAGCCTCCGCAGGCCGAAACGGCCCCGCTCTCCCCCCTGTAGCCCGTTAGTTGGTGACCTGGTGGCGTTTCACAGCAGTGAGCGGACACCTGGAGGCACGGGAGGGGCGGTGGAGGGTGAAAAATGCTGCTCTGCATTACAAGCGTAATTCCTGCCTCAGAACTTCCTTTAATTGTGCCACCATCCCAATACCCTTGGTAAAAGAACATGTATGTGTACAAATGTTGTAGAAGGGGTATTGATAATACAATTTATTTGAGCATGACACCTCAAAAACTCAGTTGCTATCACACTCCTAAAGACCAAGCTAAGAATAACACACAAAATACCATTCGCCATCTGAGCTGACAGCAGAGGAGCAGGCTCCATTTACTCTACCCCCTTAAATTCCCTCTTTCCCCATTACTAAAATGGAGCACAGTCCCCATCCCTCATTGTGGGTCAGCTCTAGTGTATTCTCCCTCATATATTGTTCAGCCAATTAAATAATGTACCATTAATTAGGGACTTGAAAAACCCAAGTGTAACAGGAGAGCTACTACATCAAAGCAGTTCCTAAAATAGTCACTCAGTAAGACAGTGATCACACCTGAGTAAAAAAGCTATTACAGAGTACATCCTAAAAATGTTAAGAGCAACAACATAAAAGATGACTTAAACAAGAGGAACTACTAAGTTTTTACCAGCCTGGTTAGTTTAAATCTTTATGGCAGCTGCAGTATTATTCACACCAGAAAGCAGTAAATGTGAAGTATAAAATAGAATAAACCTGTTCGCCTTCTGAATGTCTGATGCAAATGGTATCTTTTGTTCTACTACAGTACATTACCTAAGTAATTGTATTTGCCCTAACATAACAGCAGAAACCAATATATCACTCTGTGTCATACTTATCAGCAAATATATTCAATTTCAGACCCAAAATAACACATTTCAATTTTTCTTTTTTCTTCTAAATGTCACCAAGCAAAAGACTGTCATTCCATTCTAACCACTGCTTTGCTGAATTATTTTTCATACCTTATTCAAATAGGCATCCTGCACTCTTAAGGAATATGTCAGCAAATGGCCTATTGCCATTTTTTTGTATGGGAGACTGTATTGATTCAGTAACATAGAAGTTTACTACATACAAAATCAGAGAGCTAATACACATAAAAAAATCAGATTGCCTCTAAAGAACCACCGTGCCCTACATTATGCAATGAAATTTCAACATTTAAATATATTCATGTTTTTAAATTGTTAAAGAAAATGTAAACCAAAGTATTAGAGGAACTAGTATTCCTCAGCAACCACTGAAACTCTTCAGTCTGTTCATCATAAAACAGGAATCTTTTTGTGTTCTGCTCCAGAGAGCCCAGAAGCTCAGTTTGACTGTAACAACTATTACCTCCATTTACAAAATCAGCAGTCTCACACACCCCAGCCTGACCTGGGTGGAGGGTCACTGAAAATCAAACTGTTCAGATGTAAAAGGCTTAATATTTTTACTCATAGACATATAAACACATTAGCTAGAGACCGGTCCCAGGTAAAACCATGGAAAGGCCACCCATATTCCAGTCTGTCCTAAAAAAAAGTAACAAATGGCCACAGCATGACCAGGGCCTGCCCCACTGCTGCCAGCCAGAGCACAGCCCAGGCCTGGGGGCTGCAGGTGGGCAGGCAAGAGCCCAGGCTCAGCAGGGCCAGACACATCTGCAGACCAGCACCTCTGGTGCTGCTGGTGTGAGTGAAAGACGGCTCTGGGGCCATGGGGAATGATGGGGTAATTAAGGCCTTTTAGTGCACTCAGAGCCCTCATCAGTAGGACCAAACAACTTATTTTTTAAATTATTAAATGTTCAGCTAGTAAAACTAACTGCACTTCCATTTTAAACTTGAATTTCTCCATGCTATTGATTTAGTGCCACAAGACATCTTTATTAAAAACACCAGATTTTTATAGAAATAACCAGACTAAAAAACGGCTCACTGACATTTTAAAATGTCATTGTCAGTGGCAAGATATCAATGAGCTGATGTGCTTCCAGGAGCATCCTTCAGGGTGCTGAAACCTTAGCTGAAGGTATTTTACGTTAGCAGTCTTGGTGGTTGTATGAAGTCTGGTGATGGTGTTTGGAAAGGACAGGAAGGTCGGTGTGTTCATCTCTTCAGCAAAGCACAGGCAATGCTGTGGCAAAAAGAACTAATACAATCCAGCATGCATAAAAACTTGTCTTCTAGAAAGAAGATCTCTGTGTGCGTATTCGTGTAGAAACTCTACTAAAAAATCCTGCTATCACTTCAGATATTTACATTAGCAGGAAAATGGAAATAATAGAGAATATGGAAAAATTATTCAGGGAACATAGAACAAGCTAACTTACAATACAAAGATCACAACTTTCAGCTTATTCAGCTTCTGAGAGAAAAAAAAACTGACAAAAAAACTGGATTAATTTGAATAGGTATTTAAGTACAGAAGAGAGATCTTGATAGTATGACCTTTTCAACCTCTCTGACAAAGGCAGTGATATCCATTTGCTGGAAACTGTAGCTAGACAAACCTAATGTTGACATTTCCTGACTGTGAGGACAACTAAATATTTAAATCGTTTATCTCATGAGAGATAGAGAGTATACCTTTGCTTGGGTTTTGAACAGGAGATTAGATATACTTTTTAAAGGCAGGTTTAACTCAGATGTGAAAGAAATCCAGTTTTGTGGCAACAGGCAGCAAGACTTTGTTTACTGTCAAATAACACTGCAATGCGCCAGTCTAGGTCAGAAGCAGCATTCTCTTCTTGCAGACACCATCCAGAAAGCAAGACCAATTGTCTATGCTATCCACAGGGATTTTGCCCATGTTTGGTCGGATGGTTATTGAAATATTTGGTTGGGTTCCACAGAGAGAAATGAACAAGTGACACTCATGGTTCTGAATACCGATGTGTGGTGTTTGTCAGGTTTGTGCTCATGGCCTCACAGACCTTTCAGCACTAGGAATGGCCTTAGCTTACAATTTCCTATTTCTCTGGAAAGGCAGCTTTATCTGCATGGCTTTGTAAACATGTCATTAGTATTACGTGTTTTCCAAAGCACACCAGGAAGAAAACCACCTCAGCTCACTGTCAATAAAATAATGGGTTATGATGATAAAAATGTAAACACACAACACAACAAAATTTCAAACTTCTAAAATATTAATTGTATAAAGATACCTGCTAAGTTCTTTTTAAAAATTGTCACACACAACTCTGGCAGGAAAATAAATTATAGGAAGCAAGACTGCTACAGTTTATAGTACAGAGACTCTGCAGAGGCACAAGCTTTATTAGCACAAGCTTTTTCTTTTGTGTTGCTAAACAGGACTTCACTTTGGCCCACTGGAGGATTACTGATGACTAGGAAGCCACCCCCTTCTTTTCTAGTTTGGGTCTAGGGTGGACCACAGCAAAAATTTTGGCACCACTTGGATAGCTCCCTGGGGCTCCTTTAACTTCCACAGGGATCTGCCCAGTCTGGTTTCAAAGCAGCTTTTGAATTGCAAGAGACGTATTCGTAAGTTAGACACAAATCTGCTTCTTTATCCTCAGCTAAGTTTTGAACTGGAACTAGAATATAAACTGTAAACTAAGGAAGGACCACCTTCAAAAATATTATGACTGAGAAACACTTTCAACTTCATTGTACAAAATACCAAGAAACATAAGACACATTTTCATGAGGAAAAAAAAAAAAAACAACAACAAAAGACTTCCCACTAAAAATGAAAAAGAAAATGTCTGTCATTGTGAGAGTAAAAAGAGTACAGAAACAGTTCTTGTGTTTGGTAGTTCGCCAGTGAATCAGAAAGGGCTGGTAAAAATGCATTCATTGTGCAGAGCCCCCTCACTCTTGAAAAATCTCCTTTATTCACAGAGACAAGATTCTGCTCTTATATAGCACGACAAGTCCTGTTAAGTCAATGGGAGCTGACTTGCATAGAGAAGGCTTTTGCCTAGATATTCACATTTGTTTACAGTAGGAAAAAGAGCCTCTAACTACCATTGAAAATTATTTCACTGCTTATTTTTAATACAAAGGGCTTGAAGTGAGAAATGCTCAATTTGTAGGAAGGTTACTTCATGACTAATTTGGTAACACATGCAGTCAGAGTTAAGTTTCAGATTTTTTTCATGGTCAAGTAAAAAAGCTTATTAATTAAAGCTGATTAGAGAAGAGTTTATAAAAATAAGTTAACTGTCTTAATTGCTGAGGCATTTTTCTCCCATTTTGAGCTAATCCTTTGTAAACAGCAATCGAGTGAGGGACCACAGGCACTGTTATTGACAAGATCTGTACAGGAGACGAGTGAAGTACCTGGACTTAGGCAGAAAAAGGAGCTGGGCAAGATGGCTGCCTTTAGCTGATGGGTAACTCTGGCATGGCAGCAGAAAGAGCAGGGGCAAATTGGAAGCCAGCAGGAAAAGGGGTAAAGAGGGAAGATGAGTAACAGTGAAGGTAGAGTGAGGAGTTTTTGGGGCTGAAAATGAAGATTAATTATGAAATTCACATTAATTCTGAACTAGTGCTGAAAAAGATGATCTCTTCTCTCCCTGTTCCACTGTCCTTTCCAACCCTGGCTGTGATTTTTAGCACTGGTGTTCATTAACAGTGGGACTCTATGATCTTAAAGGTATTTTAACAACCTAAATGATTCTGGGATTTTACCTCATGATGACCCAATTTAGAGAGCTGAACTGCAAGAAAACAAATCCTGCAAGTTGAGTTTCCTGACTGGCTCACACGGGAGACCAGGGCAGACAGTAGGAGGAATGGGACTATCCCTTTCAGTAGCAGCCCACAATTAGACTGGCAGCATCACATCCTGAGATCAGCAGGGGACTCAGGCAGCAAGCCAAGGAGAAAGCCAGTGCTGGCTAAGCCAGGAGACTGAGGCTGAAATGAAGAGTCTATAAAGACAGAAAACGGTTGAAATATTGATGTTGGAGGGAATGAAAGGCCTGGAAAAGTGAGGTGGGGTTTGGAAGGAAAGAGGGTAGAAAGCAATTGCAGGAGTCTCTGTCCTTGCTGGAGCATCAAGTCCTGCTCCTAAAACTGCATTAGAAAGTGCTAAGTTTCACTATTTCTTTACCATCAAATTTTGTGAAGCCAATGATGAGTCAAATATGTATGTTTCATTGCCTTCTCTTATTACAGCAGATGGCATCTTAGTACTCTTATCAGTAATCAATGCATGCAACAGACAGAAGTCTTTTGCAGTAATCTAACATTATTGATAAAAGTGGTGGTATCATACCAATGTGATGGTCTCATTATAGCACTGACATGACTCTAGGTTGTTAAAAAAA